TCAGACACACATCTCTAATGAGCACATACTGTCCATTCTCCTCCACTGGATCACCAGAAGTGCTGACGCTGCTACAGTCACAGCTGCTGTTACACAGAGAGCCACCATCCATCCTGAGGGTCCAGAGGAAAAGTCTCCTGGAAAACAGCACAGGAATGTGATCCCACAGGAATGACAGACAAGTCATCGGCTAGTATCATGAATCCCACTGTAGAGCACTTTTCACCCCAAAGAGCATCAGATAAAGATGAGGACCATTTCATCCACCAGTGAAGTACAGCTCCACCTTGTGGCCAATGTGCACAACAATATCCCCGATTCACGGCAGGATCATTTTGAAAAATGAAACATTTCGTGAACAGCTGGAATAAAAGGGAATATTAGGGAAAGTCAGAGTACAAGATCGGTTTTGGGTTTAGCTGGGAGGTCAGGATTGACACCTCCAGTCTTTCAATCTGTTGTCCTGGGAGCTGCATCTTTAATGACCAGGTAAGTCAGGACCAGCAGCAGAACATTCCCATCGGAAGAACAACACCTTCTCTTCAGCACTGTGTCCCCTCTCACTATACTGCAGTGCTGATTTGGAAATTCCAGTGCAGATGGAAGAGAGCACCCCCTACTGGCCCGCCAACGCCCGTTGCAGCAAGGTTTTCTTTACATTTATGACATGCCAGGACTGCCCAGGCCCAGCCTTGCTCAGCTCCTGAGTTCCAGAGAGATCAAGCTCTGAAGATGTAAGGAATAACAGGAGGCAATTATGAGCAGGACGGAGGTGCAGTGGTTGATATGGCTGCCTTACACTGCCTGGGTCCTGGGATCAGTTCCTGGGGTGCTATCTGCGTGGAGTTTGTATGTTCCCCTTGTGTTTCCTCCCACAGTCTAAACACATGCTGGTAGATTATTGGACATCTAGGAAAACTGGCCCCGATGTGGGTGTGTCTGTGTCTGTCTGCCTTGTGATGGACTGGTGTGCTGTCCAGGGTGTATCCTGCCTTGTGCCCCTTGGTAGCTGGGATAGACTCCAGCTCCCCCCGCAACCCTGTATTAGATCACATTTTGAGAAAATGGATGAATGGGCTTATTTATGTATTATGGATGGTTGTGATACACTAGATGTGTTACAGGTGAGCTCCAATATTCATACTCAGTACTTACTGGGAATGTGGAGCTGAGGTCCCCAGTCTGGCCCAGGTTGGGCACTTCTGACCAGACAGGAGAAGATGTTGGACTCCTGCTGGACTGGGATGTAGCTGCTGACACTGAGGAGCCCCTGACTGTCCTTCTCCACTGTGGTGCTGGACAGTGAGGTCACATCGTGTCCATCCCTGTCTGTCCAGATCACTGCAGGTGCAGGGAACCAGCCCTCTGACCTGCACAGCAGCTGGGTCTGACCTCCTCCAGGGGAGTGGAGAGACACTGAGGGCTGGGAGCCCAGGGCTGTGGGTGTGAGACATCAGATAGAGATACACTGAAATCAATTGCTGACCTGAC